TGATAGTCACCAGGTGACTATCAGCGATGGGGTTGACGAGCTCTCCTGCTGATCGAGGCAATCGCCCGATCAATGAAAGCATCCTCATCTGCTCTGGCATGGGACGCATAGTTAGCCTTATAGCAGGTGATGAGCTCATGAGTGCATACGTTGGTGTTATCATAATCAGTGGTGAATCCTGCCACCCAGTAGGTCCTATTAGCGAGACCACTACAGAAGCTAAGGATGACTTGGCTCATGTTAGTGGAGGCATCTTGGCCGCTTCAAGTGGTGCCATACCGCACCTTACTTATAGCATGTTAGATTTCGGTGGAGCCCAAGTGGTGGATATCGTCGTGCCTTCAACAGGAAAGGAGCATCAAGATGGCCACCGTGGTAAGGGGTCAGATGCCGCGGTCCCTTCTGGTCTCGATTCGAAATGGGGTTATAGTTCATAAGGAGACGTGCTACTGTCATCGTATCGTTATAAAAGTTATAGAATCTGCTAGAGTTGTGTTGGAGTCTGAGGAGTGGCGATGGAGTGGTATGCGGCAGTTGACTCGCATTTAAGCATGGCTTCTTCCTCACTTCCTGGTAACTTCATCGTCTCTAAAGGAAAGGGAGGTGATGATGATACTGTACAGGTAGCCATCCATCATTCCCTTTCAGATCTCCTTATGGTCACCCTCCGTCACCCCAAATACCCCAAGGCATCATGTGACGTCTACGTATACGGTGCTCACGTGGCTAGATGGACCGACCGAGAAGGTGATGAGATCAGTAGCTGCTGTCCTATCACTCAGGAGTAGTACTTCAGGCAACTCCAACCTGTATATGTCCCCTATCGCTGACTATGGTAACGGTAAGGCTATGAGAGGCGGAGTCCCCGTAAGTAGTGGTATTGGGCCGATGTGTGTTGGTTATTACGGATTTGCAAGATTTTGGACAATTTAGCAGAAAAGTTGGTAAAAAAATCGGAATTTTCCCGATAAAACTCAGCCAATATCGATAACGCTCTAGTGGAGGTAGTAATACTCAGCGTTACCACAATTTCCCACAGGTCTGTTGGCCGCAATTCGCTGGTAACGGTCCCTTCCAGAAGCACGGCTTCGCGAGGAACACTGAGTGGGAGCTCGACAGCTACAGCACCGAGGAGGATCCGTGCGTAATAAATCATTATTATTATTATTATTATGAATTGTATTAATTACGCGTTGGAGCTTCACCCTAGTGATATGAAAAACACTAGTGTAAAACATATTTTACGACTACAGCATATCACCACGAATATCGCGCTTTTCACAGTATAACCCCACTTCACGTAAATCGGGTGAAACCCCATTATATTTATACTGAAATATTAATAATGTTAATATATTATTACTAATAATAATACCATAACTTTCCAAAATCGTGTGGATGCTGAGCTCTGTATAGGTTACATTCAAGCTGGTTTCGAACGAATTTACTAAGGAAACGATGGGATGCCCATTCGAATTCGAGTTGCGGTATACTGTAACTCTAGGTGGGGACTATTTGGGGATGCATATGGAAGTGGTGAATACTGGTGCGGAGGCTATGCAGTTCGCAACAGCTCTTCATACGTAATAGTCCATGAACGGCTTTATGGAGAGGACGAGAAAGAGGGTTTAGGTACTTTTCGGTCGGAGATATTGCTACGACAACAGTAGCGGGAGTTGATGAGCATCATTACAACGATACGGCTCAGGGAGGCAAGGACTGTAAGAAAGGCAATTCATATAGTGGAATTTCATTCGATTTACATGAAGTGGTGTAATACTCTGTGAAAAACGCGATATTCGTGCTATGCGGTGCTATGTGAAATATGTTTTTCACTAGTGTTGTGAAACTCCAGTGACTATTTAAGGGTTTGGTTTTCCTGTGCAGGTTATGATGGGAATTCGGTGGTTGAGTTTAATGAGGGTATTGTGGATAGAGTGTATAAGCAAGCAGCTGGCCCCGCTCATATACTTTGTGACGGTTCTAAGATGTGAGCAGTCTTCATTGACTTGTGATGATTTAACGCTTTTCCTGTCAGATTGATGGCTGAGAAGAGCCCGTCGTTCCCGGACACTGTTGTGTGGAATATTGGCAGCGACTCGTTAGGCGATATGCCGGCGGGGGACTTCAAGAGGTAGGTTTACTCAGGGGCTAGTAGTATCATACTCATTCGAGGGTACTCCTCATCGTGATGTGTGCGCAATGTGGTATTGAAGGTTTATTTTGTTGAGAACTGTTGAAAACATTGAACTCCTCATGTAGTAGGCAAAGATTCAGGAGTTGGAGAAATGATGGTATGATTATGCCTCTCGCTGTTCTCGAGTGTATAACTGAACTTGATTGATAGATACATTTGCGTCGAGTCTGCAGCCGCAGTAGAGCCGGTGAAGGTAGCCCCCTGGTGATTCATGGGAAGCTGACCAGAAGCTTACCAGATGCCTTCCTAATAGTTACGGCAGCGCTTGAATGAAGCTCTGCATGGGTCGCGGAGGGGGCCTCTA